AAAAAAAAAAAAAGAAAATGTGGGAAAAGGATTAAAAAAAGAAAAAGAAAGAAAAGTGGGGAGGGGTGGTGCATATATGGTAGCCAGCAGCAGTAGCAGCAAGAGGCTATGACCAAAATCTTCCAGAGCATGTGCCCTTGGAGGGTGGGAACCTAGTGCGTGTAAACACCTCTGACAGAGGAGGCTGCAGTGATTCATGTTTTGCCTTCAGTGGGAGCAGGACCTGTCAATGACACAGGCTCAGGAAGACAGAGCCACAGATACTGCCTCTGTCTGGTTGGGGCACAGTGCCACAGGTGGCTGGGCTGCTTGCTGCTAGAAGGAAGTGGTCCAATGAATGAGGGGGGGAGTGTTCATCTGGTGACCATCCCTAGTCACTAGGTTGTTGGGAGCAGAAAGAAATCCTCCCCCTTGTCACTAGGAAGATATGTTTGGGAAAGTGGAGAAAACACCTGTCTGGTCATAGTTCACTGGGATAAGCCCAATGCACTTCCGGGCACATGCAGCCAATTATTGAACTACTGCCCAGATTCAGTCAAGTGGGGGCCACCTGGAGTCCAGTGTATCCAACTGCCACCCCACAGGCTTTCCCTTTCACATGGGCTCTCAACCCAAATGACCAGTGTTCACTAGTAGTTAGTTGTTTCATTCTCCTTCACTGGGTCTCTCTTCACTCTGTGGTCACCTGTGCCATTGGATCTTGCCCATATGTCTGCACTTTCTTCTCCCAGATCCAGTGCATATTCTGCTCACCTGATTCCTTCCAGATCTGTCCACACTGTGTCTCTGTCCCAGCGTTGATCCAAGAAGTTGGATTTTCTTCACTCATGTATGACACTTTTTTGTGTCTCAAAATGGCCGCACTTTCTTGGCCTCTTCTCTTTCCCTACTCACTCTCCTCATTTCATCTCCCTTTCCAATCAGCAGTCAATCTAATTCTTTATCCTGTCATCTGATGCTCAGAGTTCCAGGATCATTATTTGTATCTTTTCCACTAAGTTTTTCTGGGTCTCTGTTGCAGAGGGATTGGGTAGAGTGTGCCACCAGGATGCCATCTTGTCTCTACCTGTGGTGGAGTCTATCTCAGTGCACTTCCTAATGTTTCTGATTCTTGAAGCATAAGAGTGGAAAATGTACTTGTATCTCAGGTAATATGGTAAAAGTAGCCACCCACTGATGACTATCTGCGAAGCACTGTGTTGGAGGCTTTAAATATATTGTGTTCATTTTTGAATTTTGAATTTATAACACTATTTGCTTCAAATTATTTTCCCAGAAGAGAATTTATATCAAATAAGTCCATCATGGCCTCATCTAAGAAGCAGAACTTACTGAAATATCTGTAAAAATTCTGTGGGCCAAGGAGAAATGAAGTTTAGGGGACACAGCTTCTGTGAAAGTGATGAAAAACTTTGGGAACAGTTAATGGTGATGCTGTAATGTAATTAATGTTACTAAACTGTGCATGGGAAAATTGTTGAAATGGCAAAGTTTTGTTGTATAAATATTAACACAAATAAAAAACGACCTCTATGGGATAATCCAAAAATTTACATTTAAAGGAAAGCTGGTTAATTAAAAGGTGAATAATTTTGAATAATATAATAATCTACCTCTGGAAGGGAAGAGTTATGATGAAATGATCAATTATCCTCAGCAGTAATGATTTAATCCAGCATCAGTGGTGCCTCTTAATGCGATACACATGAAAATGACACACCATCACTTTTCTGAGATTCCTGCTGCAAAGAAGTAACCTGAATCTAATCATGAGGAAACATCAGAAAACCGAATTGAAAGATACACTACAAAACTGTCCTGTACCCTCCAAAACTGTCAGTGTCATAAAAGACAAAGACTGAGTAACTCTTCCAAATGAAAGAAGACTGAAGAGCCATGATGACTAAATGTAATACATGATACTAGTTTGGATCCTGACTCGGGGGAAAAAAACCCACAGGATGTTATTGGGACAATTAACAAAATTTGACTGTGAACTATATATTAGATTAATTTTTCTGAATCTTATCATTGTTCTATGGCTGTGTGAGAGAACATTTTGTTCTTAGGAAATGTACCCTGAAATATTTAGAAGGGATATAATGTCTACAACTTATTTTCAAATGATTCAGAAAAAAAAAATGTGGATACGTATACATACATACACATACATACAAATTTAGAAAGAGCATTAAAGCAAACAAAGTTAATGACTGGTGATTCTGGGTAAAACGTCTCAGGAGTTCTTTGTACTTTCTTGCAATTCTTCTGTAAGTTGGAAATCCTTTCAAGATTAAAAAGTATTTATTTAAAAGCACAAAAATATCTCAATTGGATTTAATAAATGATAGGAGAAAGCTTTTAGGGTAGTTTAATCTATGATAGCTCTAATCCTACACAAAATTAGTTCACTGATGAAAAGTAACTAATTCAAGCCCTCCTCCACACATGGTACAATAAATCGTCTCATTTGGACCTATCCCAGAATTCAGACCACATTGGAATGTTAGCTGCTGAACTGCTCCCTTTTTCAATACAAACTAACCCTGGGGTCAGGACCTACCAGGAACTACTACCACTCCCTCAGAGAATGTTTCAAATAGACATACTTAATTGTTGATGATTCAGATCTCTGGCGACAGAGAGTGAGCAATATTTTAGTGAGTTGGCAAGATTCTTCAATGGAGCAAGAAGAGTCTTTTATGTGCAGGGAACAGGAATCTCTGAATGTATCCAAGCTCTTCTGTCCCCTTTATGTAATTAAAATTTGTTGTCACACTCAATATTCAAATACTGGATTACACACTGCATTGTGCTGTGGGATTGTGCAGAGGGCTAATTTAGCAGAATGGTTTGCACATAGGCCTCAGGAAATTGTTGAACTGAATATATCAAGTAAATGTCACAATCTTTACTTGATTCTTATGAGAATTCTACAAAATATTCAGGGCAGACAGTGCGATCCCCATTTTACTTAAAAACTCACATAGGGAAATCATGCAATTTGCCCAAGATTCTACAGATAGTAAAAGAAAAAAATGAGAATTCAAACTGTTAATATTTTTACTCTGCTGATCAGTCTGTTGATGTCTTAGGGGAGGTTACAGATTTACCTCCATTTCATACTGGAGGAAAGCCAAGTTTTCTTGCCTTTTGGAAACAGAGAGAGCCATTCTCTTGAGGTAAAACTACACATTAAATAGGTAGTTCCACATCACTTCTTTTTTTCTTCAGCTATAAAATGGGAATAATGTTCACCTATCCATTGTATAGGGACCTCTGGTGGCATAGTGCCCAAGGCACTTGACTGCTAACCAGAAGGCTGGCAGTTCAAACCCACCAGCCACTCCTCGGAAAGAAGGTTGGGCAATCTACTTCCGTAGGGATACTGCCTCAGAAACCCAAGGCGGGGTTGCTATGAGTCGTATCCAACTTGATGGCAGTGAGTTTGGGTTTTTTTTTTTTTTTTTTGGTTTGCCCATTGTATAAGGAGCTCTGGTGGTGCAGTGGTTAAGCACTTGGCTGCTAACAAAAAGATTGGAGGTTTAAGTCCACACACAGGCTCCTTGGAAGAAAGTCCTGCTGATCTATTTCTGAAAAATCAGCCATTCAAAACCTACGGATCCACAGTTCTACTCTGACACAGATGGTTTGCCATGAGTCAGAATCAACTCAATAGCAACTGGTTTACCCACCATACAAACTTTACTGTAGAAATCTAATATAAATTATGAATGCCTTACAGATTAAGAAGAACTATAAAACTGTGATTATTAGTAGTACTACTATTTAACAATGTTCTCTAATTCATGTTATAACAGTCTGTTGTTTTTTTTTCTGTGATGACTCAGAAAGCAAAAGATCATACCTGTTCCTTTTGAGGGAAACTTGGCAGCTTAGATGGTCTGGAAGATCTTGGTGCTGACGTCTCGTGCTGCCTAGTAAGGACAGCCCACTTGGAAATTCTTTTATTGGTGTCCTCATAATCACCAAGGTGCCAGGCAAAAAAACCACGACTATATCTTCCTTGCATATCCAGAATATCAGGTTTTGGTTGCCTGAAATAGAAACAAGTTGGTCAGTTCTCAAATTGAAAAAGCCTAGAAGCAAAGCCAGGGATTTTCAAGTAGTTGTTTCACTTATGTGATTTGAGGTGATTTCTAGCCATGTGGCTTAGGAAAGCTAAGAACCTGACCCAATAGCCAGTATTCTGAGAAAGTTCTGGACTCTCTTCACTCCACTTTACTGGATGTCCAGCTGCTAAAGATGTAGGGAAAAATCTCCTGAAATTGGACACTTATCTAATAACCTCATTCCCGAGGACACGTGGGCAGGATGCCTTTTTGAACCAACCATGTATCTTCCTTGCATAGGGAGTTAAAGATGGCATGTTAAGGGTGAGAACTCATGACATTTATGCATTCCCCTGGAAGGCATGGCCTGCCCATTTTGAGTTTCATGGGCGTTTAGTAAAACATGAGCTTTGTGCTTTCAGATGCCAGCTTTGGATAGTGTGTTAGAAGAAAGATCTAGGTGCTATCCTTTTTCCTCAGGAAAATTCTTGGCTAGGTTCCAGCAGCCTTAAATTAGAACATTATCTGAACTTTTCCTTCTGATGATAAAGGGCCAGCTCTGGAAAATTAGCAGAAAAAAGGGATTTTAGGGTTAAGGATTTGTCATTTCATTTTGAAAGTTGTCTCTCTAGAGAGCTCCTTGGGTCTTCTTAGCCCCACAATCCCTCTACATGGGTTGCCAGAGCCATCAACAAATGTAAAGTTCTCTTCATAGAGTCTGAGTTTTATGAGTTCTCAAGTTCTTTGGACCAAGATTTGTGGCAGGTCTGCATGTACTTCACTCATTCAGGAACATTCTAGCACCACACACTGTACAAGGCACGGGGAGACCATGGTAATAATACAAGGTCCTTATTACCATAGAGCTTATCTTGCAGTGAGGGAGACCAATGATAAACCAATAAACACAAGGAGTCCCCATGTTACAAGCAAGATCTGTTCCTAAGTCTGTCTGCAAGTTGAATTTGTAGGTAAATCAGAACAACCTCGTAAGTGTCTTGAAATGACCAGATATGTCACCCCTGAGCAGTATGTTAGCCTACCCTTCCATGCTTTATGCCTTGGTATATTTTTTTCCTCTTCTGAAATATTGGTGCTCTCAGGAATTGCCCCCTCCAAAAAAAATAAAGTAAAATAAAATAAGCTAGTCTCATCTACATTAAATGTTTGGACTGGCAAATAACCTCTCTCAACAATTTTTTCAAAACCTCAGGAAAATCCTCGTGGCACTTACATCAGCACTTGCTGCTTCGCCTTACATTTTGATATTGTGTAAATTTGCCTTCATTTTGAAATGATTAAACTCACCTCTACTTACAATAAATTCTTCATCACAATCACCTTCACTGGGTATACATGCAGCTTTTAAGTCATTGGAAAAGTTTTGAGCCTTTTCTTGCACTTAAGTAAGGCTAATAAGCATGTATTTAGTTGATTTTGATTGCCTACCAAATTATTGATAGTCTTTTCATTTCAATAACTAAACCACTGTGTTTCCTAGTAATAACTATAGCTTTCATTAGGGCAGAGCTTTCCACATCCTCCATTATTCTCACTTTATCCTTTAAATTATTCCAATCTTTAACCTACTTGTTGTTGTTGTTATGTGCGGTGGAGTCGGACCCGACTCATAGCGACCCCTCCTTGGGTTTCTGAGGCAGTAACACTATGGAAGTAGATTGCCCCATCTTCCTTCCAAGGAGTGGCTGATGGATTTGAACCACCAGCCTTCTGGTTGGCAGTCAACAGTCTATGCTTTTCCAATGACTGATGACATTTCACTTCTTTTTGATTGCTTTATTATTTCCAGTTTATTTTCAGTCATGATCATCTTCTTTTTGTTTGATTCATCACCAGCACTTGCATTAGTTTTTCACTTTAGAGGCATGGTTACAAGGGTAAATAAGAGGAAAATTTAAACCAAATACCAAGTTACACAGTCAACACAGTGTTAATAGCAACATGGTCCAACTTAAAAAAGAAGACAGTGTTTTACTTCCTTGAACTAATGAACTGCTGAAATTACACAATGTTTTCATGATCATGACAAAGGAATGTATGTATTCATTATTATGAACCCTTGTGTTTAACTCAAAGTTTTAATACAGTAGGCTTTATGGTAATCCATTCTTAAGCATGAGTTCTCCCTAACTCTGACTTTCTTAACTTGGGGACTTATTGTTAGTTAAATATTGAGGAAGGAAAATACACCCAAATAAGAAATAGGAAACACCAGAGATAGTATTTTTATGAGGGTAACCAAGAGGGGAGCAGAGAGCTAAATGAAGCAAGATAGTGAGAAATTCTTGCATGCACAGGGGTCAGACACTCCCTTTCCACTACTGAGAACCACAGACTCCTGATGTTGGGAAAAATTGACCATGTCCCTCACCAGCAAACCCTCTACTGGCTTCCTGTGCCCTCAGTTGTTGTTGTTAGGTGCTTTCAAGTTGCTTCCAACTCCTAGCAACCCTATATACCACAGAACGAAATGCTGCCCAGTCCTGTGCCAGCCTCACAGTCTTTGCTATGTTTGAGCTCACTGTTGCAGCCACTGTATCAATCCATCTTGGTGAGGGTCTTCCTCTTTTTTGCTGACTCTCTACCACACATGATCTTTCTCCAGGGACTTGTCCCTCCTGATAAGATGACTGAAGTAAGTCCGACCAAGTCTTGCCATCCTCACTTCTAAGGAATATTCTGACTGTAGTTCTTCATGGTATATTCAATATTCTTCAACAACATCATTATTCAAAGGGGCCTTCCTTATTCATTTTCCAGCTTTCACATGTGTATGAGGCAATTGAAAATATCATAGCTTACGTCAGGCACACCTTAGTCCTCAAAGTGGCATCCTTGCTTTTTAACACCTTAAAGAGGTCTTTTGGAGCAGATTTGCCCAATGCAATATGTCATTTGATTTTTTGATTACTATTTCCGTAGGCATTGATTGTGGAGCCAAATAAAATCAAATCCTTGACAACAGTGTATTTTTCTTATTTCTCTGTTTATCATAATGTTGGTTATTGGTCCAATTGTGAAGATTCTTGTTTTTGTTATGATGAGGTTTAATCCATAGTGAAGACTTTGATCTTCATCAATAAGTTTTTCAAGTCCTCTTCACTTTCAGCAAGCAAGGTTTTGTTATCTGAATATTGTAGCGTGTTGATAAGTCTACCTCCAGTCCTAATTTGACCTCATATAGTTCATCATCTCAGATTATTTGCTTAGCATACAGATTGAGTAAGCATGGTGAAAAGATACAACCCTGATGCATACCTTTCCTGATTTTAAACCACCTAGTGTCCTCTTGGTCCAGTGCATAGGTTCTGCATAAGCACAGTTAAGGGTTCTAGAATTCTCATTCTTTATGATGCTATCCATAATTTGTTGTGATCCACACCATCGAATGCCTGTGCATAGCCAGTAAAACACAGGTATGTTTTCTTTCTGGTATTCTTTACTTTCATACAAGATTCATCATCTTCTGAATCCAGCTTGAATATCTGGCAGTTCCCTGTCTATATACTGTTACAACTTTTTAAAAATCATTGTGTCTGATGTTAAGGATATTGCTTGATAATTTCCACATTCTTTTGCATCACCTTTCTTTGTAATAAGAAGCTCTGGTGGCACAGTGGGTAAGGCATTTTGCTGCTAACCAAACGTCGGTGGTTCAAACCAACCAGCTTCTCCATGGGAGGAAGATGAGGCAATTTACTTCCATAAAGATTTACAGCTTTGGAAACCCTGTGGGGGTCACCACGAGTCAGAATTGACTCAATGGTGGTGTTTCCACCCCCCCTCCTTTGGAATGGGCCCGAATATAGTTCTCTCCCAGTTGGTTGGCTAGGTAGCTGTCTTCCAAATTTCTTGGCATAAACTAGTGAGCACTTCCAGCATTGTATTCATTTGTTGAAACATCTCAATGGATATTCTGTCAGTTCCTGGAGGCTTGCTTTTTGTCAGTGCCTTCAGTGCAGCTTGGACTTTTTCCTTCAACACCATGAATTCTTAATCATATGCTACCTCCTGAAATGGTTGAACATCGACCAATTCTTTTTGGTATAGTGACTCTTTGTATTCCTTCCATCTTCTTTTGATGCTTCCTGTGGTCATTCAATACTTTGCCAATAGAAACCTTCAATATTGCACCTTGAGGTTTAATTTTTTTATTCAGTGCTTTCACCTTGAGAAATGCTGAGCTTGTTTTTTTCTTTGGATTTTCTAAATGTGGTCTTTGCACATTTTATTATAATGTTTCACTCTCTACTGACTTCTCATAGCCCTCGGAATAACATCCAAACTCCTTAGCATAGCATAGCAGCTGTGTGAGTGGTTGCTGTTTGCTTTTCGCCTATTTTTATTTTATTATTATTATTATTAAATGATCTGACCACTGTGGGCCTTTCTAGTCTGTTCTCTTTGCCCTGCCCCTATGTGCAAACATGCACACAGTGCCTTTTTATGCTCTCAATCCTCCCTTTTCTTTATATTAGCTTTGAAGAAGGCGCATTCTCAGATCTTCAGCTTTTGGCTTTGCGTCTTTCTTCTTTGTAATTCCCTCCCCTTCTTTCCTGGCAATCTGAAACCTAGGTCATGCTTTAAACAGCAACTTGTCTGTAAAGACTTTCCTGATTCCTGTCAGGCAGAAATTTTTCTCCTTCTGTAGTATTTTATATTGGACTTATTTTGTAGAACTATTAGAATATAAGAGTCCTGGTGGCACAGTGTTTAAGTGCTTGGTTACTAATCAGAATGTCAGCAGTTCAAACCCACCAGCTGCTCCACTGGTGAAAAATGTTGTGGTTTGCTTCTGGAAAGATTTCAGCCTTGGAAACCCTGTGGAGCAGTTCTACTTTGTCCTATAAAGTTATAATGAATTGAAATCAACTTGACAGAAATGGGATTGGACTTAAATTTCTAGTTCACCTTCTGTGGTAGTTAAGGTTATGTGTCAACTTGGCTGGGCCTGGTGGCGTGGC